TATCTTAAACTATTTGTTCACTCTCTTCCTACTTTATCTCACTTTCTAGAGACTGTCCTTGTTCACCTTGTCAATTCCCACCACTATCTTGTATGTTGCCATCATATCCCCTGTGCGACGAGGCTGAGTCTTGACCCAACAGCATGGCGAGTTGTCATAATAAATCAAAAGTGTGGTGAACCTCTTTTCTAGTGACGTAGTAGCAGTGTGGTATGGTTGTGTCAGGTTGAACCAGGAGTGTGGTGAGCCTTTGAAGGGATGAACCAGGACTGCGGTGAGGTTGATTAATGAACAAACAGCAGTGGTGAGGTTCTGTCATGGTGAACCAGCAGTGTGGTGAGGCTATGCCTTACTGAACCAACAGTGTATTGAGGCAATGTCTTAATGAACCATAAGTTGTATGGATTGGGGTAATAGTGATCAAGAAGCGCGATGTGGCCTTGTCTTGGAGAACCCGATGTTGTGATGTTGTTCCCTACAGAACCGTCAGGTTGTTAGTGTTGTGACTTGTTGATCCAGCAGTTTGTTGACGTTGGGGCCTGGTGACCCAGCATCATTAGGGGAGTTTATGTTGGTGAAAGAGCAGTGTATTGTTGTTCTGTCTTGGTGAGCCAAAGATGTGGTGAAGCTGTGATTCGTTGTACTCATCACGTTGAGTCATTGTGATGCAGTAATATAGTGAGGTTCTTGGTGAACCAACAGCGGTGAGATTGTATCTTGGTGAACCAACAGCGGCGAGATTGTATATTGGTGAACCAACAGCGGCGAGATTGTATATTGGTGAACCAACAGCTGTGAGATTGTATATTGGTGAACCAACAGCGATGAGATTGTATATTGGTGAACCAACAGCGGTGAGATTGTATATTGGTGAACCAACAGAGGCGAGATTATATTTTGGTGAACCAACAGCGGTGAGATTGTATATTGGTGAACCAACAGCGGCGAGATTGTATATTGGTGAACCAACAGCGATGAGATTGTATTTTGATGAACCAACAGCTTTGAGATTGTATTTTTGTGAACCAACAGCTTTGAGATTGTATTTTTGTGAACCAACAGCTGTGAGATTGTATATTGGTGAACCAACAGCGGTGAGATTGTATATTGGTGAACCAACAGTGGGGAGATTGTATATTGGATTCCAACAACAGTGAGGTTGGAATCCACAACCGACAACAATCATCACAGTTAATTGTTGACCCTTTGTCGTAGTGAACCACCAGAGTTCCACGGCAACATCATGGTGAATCTGGTGTGGTGAACTTGTGTTTTGGTTAATGACATGTGTGGTGAAGGAGTAGTGAGGTGAGGCTTGGGTTTCGTTAACCATCATTGTGGAGAGGCTTTTCACCAAGAACCGGCTGGTTCGTGGTGAACCAGTTCTGTGCTCAAATTAGTGTATTGAACCAGCAGTGCGAGGCTGTGTGGTGAGACTGTTCATGGTTGAAGCAGAGGTGAACTGAGTCTGCTGAGTCTGAGCAGCGTGATGAGTCTGTCTTGGTAATCTAGCAGTGTGGTGATCATGTCTTGGTGATCCAGCAGTGTTATGAGTCTGTCTTGGTGATCCAGCAGTGTGATGAGTCTGTCTTGGTGATCCAGCAGTGTGATGAGTCTGTCTTGGTGATCCAGCAGTGTGATGAGTCTGTCTTGGTGATCCAGCAGTGTGATGAGCATGTCTTGGTGATCCAGCAGTGTGATGAGTCTGTCTTGGTGATCTAGCAGTGTGATGAGTCGTCTTGGTGATCCAGCAGTGTGATGAGCATGTCTTGGTGATCCAGCAGTGTGATGAGCATGTCTTGGTGATCCAGCAGTGTGATGAGTCTGTCTTGGTGATCCAGCAGTGTGATGAGTCTGTCTTGGTGATCCAGCAGTGTGATGAGTCTGTCTTGGTGATCCAGCTGTGTGGAGAGCGTTGGTAAATTTGATCACAGAGGTATGGAGTCTTGGTTATCCATCTGGGTAGTGAGTGATATGTGTGAGGAACATTGTGAGACATGAGCATGATTGAACAAGAACATAATGAACCATGACCATGATGAAACAAGAACTTCATGAGACATGAGCATGATGATACAGGAACATTGTGAAACATGAGTATGATGGAACAAGAACATTGTGAGACATGAGCATGATGGAACAAGAACATTGTGAAACATGAGCATGATGGAACAAGAACATTGTGAGACATGAGCATGATGGAACAAGAACATTGTGAAACATGAGCATGATGGAACAAGAACATTGTGAGACATGAACATCATGGAACAAGAACATTGTGAAACATGAGCATGATGGAACAAGAACATTGTGAGACATGAGCATGATGGAACAAGAACATTGTGAAACATGAGCATGATGGAACAAGAACATTGTGAGACATGAACATGATGGAACAAGAACATTGTGAAACATGAGCATGATGGAACAAGAACATTGTGAAACATGACCATGATGGAACAAGAACATTGTGAAACATGAGCATGATGATACAGGAACATTGTGAAACATGAGCATGATGGAACAAGAACATTGTGAAACATGAGCATGATGGAACAAGAACATTGTGAAACATGACCATGATGGAACAAGAACATTGTGAGACATGAACATGATGGAACAAGAACATTGTGAGACATGAACATGATGGAACAAGAACATTGTGAAACATGAGCATGATGGAACAAGAACATTGTGAAACATGAGCATGATGGAACAAGAACATTGTGAGACATGAACATGATGGAACAAGAACATTGTGAGACATGAACATGATGGAACAAGAACATTGTGAGACATGAACATGATGGAACAAGAACATTGTGAGACATGACCATGATGGAACAAGAACATTGTGAGACATGAACATTATGGAACAAGAAAGTTGTGAAACATGAACATTATGGAACAAGAACATTGTGAGACATGACCATGATGGAACAAGAACATTGTGAGACATGACCATGATGGAACAAGAACATTGTGAGACATGAACATTATGGAACAAGAACATTGTGAGACATGAACATGATGGAACAAGAACATTGTGAGACATGACCATGATGGAACAAGAACATTGTGAGACATGACCATGATGGAACAAGAACATTGTGAGACATGAACATTATGGAACAAGAACATTGTGAGACATCATATGTGGAGATATATTTTGAGTTTTTCTTCATCCGCCCGACAGCTGAGTGGATAGCGCTTCGGATTCGTAGTCCTGAGGTTCCGGGTTCGATCCATGGTGGCGGCGGAAACAAAGGGGCAAAAAAGTTTCTTTCACCCTGATTTGTCTGTTCACCTAGCAGTAAATAGGTACCTGGGAGCTAGACAGCTGCTACGGGCTGCTTCCTGGGGGTGTGTAACAAAAAGGAGACCTGGTAGAGGACCGGGCCGCGGGGACGCCAAGCCCCGAAATCATCTCAAGATAATCATAGTAGAATCCCTTGTATGACTTTTGTTCTAATTGCACTTCTTCAATCTGATACAAATGATTCAGTCTCTGGTCGAGATCCTCTACCCACTAAACACACACCGAAACTACGACGTTGGTACAACGTTCGAGCAAGTTTTAACACCACCTATGTTATAACAACTAATATAGCAAGTTGTAACAACGTTCTAATACGTCATAAACACGTTAAGCCAAGATGTAACAACTTTATTTCAAGTTGTAACAAGCGGAAAATAGAGACAGTTTCGGTTTGTGTTTCCAGGATATCTCCCTGTATAAATTATTCCTTCATTGTAGGGATAGTAGTGTCTGCTTAAGCATTTCATTTTTTTCCTTCTTTTGTAGTGCCGGTTCCGTCCTCTTTCTGAGTTGGGCCTCTTTCTGGCTTTCCTCAAAGGAACATGTTTCAGTCAGACTTTAAATACTTCGGAAGTCAGTTGTTTTATTCCTTGTGTGGAATTTCTATTACTTAAAACAGTTTCCCATTGAATGTTTGTAAGTTCCCTGTTTACTTTTCCCAGTGTCTCATTTTATGATTAAATTTGAATTTATTGAATAACCCCTCTCGCTTGATCATTGGTTTAGTCCTATTACGAGTATTGATGGAAGTTTGCACTTCAATGAGCTTGTGATCTGAGTATGTGATATCTAAGATTGTAATGTCCCTTATTATGTCTTCACTGTTTGCGAAGATCAGATCTAGAATATTTTCGTTCCTAGTTGGCTCTGTTATCGGCTGGTTGGGTGAAAATTTGTCACAGAATCAAAGTATTTCTGTAATCAGTGGATGATCCAGTCTCGTAGGAAGATAATATCAGGTATTGGGTTTGCCAGATTTATCAAAACTATCCTCTATTTTGTTGATCCTTTCTGTGAATTCCTCAGCTATTGCCTCTGGCGGTTTGTATATTAGAATAATAACTAAGTTTATTTTCATTACTTTTATTGAAAATATTTTTATTCATTAGATATTTATCATGAGACATGAGCATGATGATACAAGAACATCATGAGCCATGAGCATGATGATACAAGAACATCATGAGCCATGAGCATGATGATACAAGAACATCATGAGCCATGAGCATGATGATACAAGAACATCATGAGCCATGAGCATGATGATACAAGAACATCATGAGCCATGAGCATGATGATACAAGAACATCATGAGCCATGAGCATGATGATACAAGAACATCATGAGCCATGAGCATGACGGTACAATAACAATCTTCCACAGCGTAGTTTGATAACGAGTTGTGAAACAAACCTTAAACTTTGACTCCTTAAACAATCGATTCAACATTATTCTACTTGTAAACAGCCCCCGGAGGCCTCCGATATAGCCACGAAAGGAATATAACGATCATACGAGTCACGCACGGACTGTAGAAGACGAAAGTCGTGAGAGGCACGACAACAAATCCAAAAAAAGGGGGGGTTGGTGTTGGTGTTTGGCGCATGCGCTCCTGGAAGCGGTGTAGAGGGGCGGCGACGTCGGTGGGGGTGAGGAAGCAGCAGGCTGGAGTCAGTCGGCCACTGGCACCTCCGGCAGCTTGGCCTCACGCTCCTCCCGTTTTAGACAGCGTACCTTGTATGTTACAGTGGCGCCGCTTCTTGTGCTGGCTCGCTATGCCGTTCCTGTAGTCATGTTGTGAGCCCTGAGTGCACTGTGTTCAGTGTCACCGGCGCTCGTGTGAAATATCAGTGTTAAAATGTGTGATGTGACAATACTGGAAATACTGTGATATATGTGTATATATAAATGTATATAAATATTTATATATATATTTATATTTATATAGATGCTTATAATGTACATGCATATGTATATAAATGGAAGTGAAGATAATGAACAAGGCCTTGAGGAGAGAGAGAGAGAGGAGCCTGCCCTTACCTCACTCGGAACAGTAGAGATATTAAACAAACTCCCGCTCATCTCTCCGGCCAGCGGTTGATGTAGTTTCACGGCTGAGTTAAGAGAGCAGCCGTCCGTGGGGGCCATGGGTGTCATTTATGGTGCTACGGCCTCACTCCTCCGCGCCCTCTGGAGTCATTCACAGTTTGTTATCACTCTCCTGTGGTGTGATCCACTCTGTTTCCTTTCTCTGCTAGAGTTATTCATTGTTAGTTTCCTTATGTCCTCTGGAGTGATTTATTGTTAGTTTCCTTTTGCCCTGTGGAGTGATTAACTATTAGTACCTTTATCCTGTAAAGTGCTTCAATTATAGTTACCTGTCTAATGTGGAGTTATTCATTTCCCTTTAGCGTCCTTTCGTTTCTCTCTCTCTCTCTCTCTCTCTCTCTCTCTCTCTCTCTCTCTCTCTCTCTCTCTCTCTCTCTCTCCTCTCTCTTCTCTCTCCTCTCTCTCTCTCTCCTCTCTCTCTCTCTCCTCCCCTCTCCTCTCCCTCTCTCCCTCTCCCCTCTCTCTCCCTCTCCCTCTCCCTCTCCCTCTCTCTCTCTCTCTCTCTCTCTCTCTCTCTCTCATCATGTTTCTTTTCATATTTTGTATGCTGTGTGATTCATTCCCGAATAGCTTCGTTCTCTTGCATTCGTGTGGCGAGATTCACACCAACTCATCTCCCACCCTGCTCTTGTGTTTACTCTGATTCACTTGGTGTCGAGCTCACCAAGTAGACACTACCCTCGTAGAGATAGTGAACTGTGTCGGCGTTTTTGTGACTCCTCCATCGCTACAGCTTGAGTTTGCTGTTCTCTCTCACTCTGTCGGTGCTTTTGTGCGTCCTCCTCGTCGCTACAGCTTGAGTTTACTGTTCTCTCTCACTCTGTCGGTGCTTTTGTGCGCCCTCCCCGTCGCTACAGCTTGAGTTTACTGTTCTCTCTCACTCTGTCGGTGCTTTTGTGCGTCCTCCTCGTCGCTACAGCTTGAGTTTACTATTCTCTCTCACTGTGTCAGTGTTTTTGTGCGCCCTCCCCGTCGCTACAGCTTGAGTTTACTTCTCATTCTCACTTCTATTCCTGGATTTATATATGCGATATTTATTAATTTCTTCCTTGCCTAACATTCTCCCTGCCTGTATGTCTCATCCAGCCGTACTTCTTCACCTGTTTTGATGATGATTTCTGACCCCCAATCCATCATGACTTTTTACTCTACTTTTTCATGATGATTTACTCAAACTCTCTTGGAGTCTGACTTCCTCACCCCTTCCAGCCTGCCTTCTTCACCCCTTCCAGCCTGCCTTCATCACCCCTTCCAGCCTGCCTACATCACCCCTTCCAGCCTGCCTTCTTCACCCCTTCCAGCCTGCCTTCTTCACCCCTTCCAGCCTGCCTTCTTCACCCCTTCCAGCCTGCCTTCTTCACCCCTTCCAGCCTGCCTTCTTCACCCCATCCAGCCTGCCTTCTTCACCCCTTCCAGCCTGCCTTCTTCACCCCTTCCAGCCTGCCTTCTTCACCCCTTCCAGCCTGCCTTCTTCACCCCTTCCAGCCTGCCTTCTTCACCCCTTCCAGCCTGGCTTTTTCACCCCTTCCAGCCTGCCTTCTTCACCCCTTCCAGCCTGCCTTCTTCACCCCTTCCAGCCTGCCTTCTTCACCCCTTCCAGCCTGCCTTCTGCTCCACTTCCAGCCTGCCTTCTTCACCCCTTCCAGCCTGCCTTCTTCACCCCATCCAGCCTGCCTTCTTCACCCCTTCCAACCTGCCTTCTTCACCCCACTCCAGCCTGCCTTCTTCACCCCTTCCAGCCTGCCTTCTTCACCCCTTCCAGCCTGCCTTCTTCACCCCTTCCAGCCTGCCTTCTTCACCCCTTCCAGCCTGCCTTCTTCACCCCTTCCAGCCTGCCTTCTTCACCCCTTCCAGCCAGCCTTCTGCTCCCCTTCCAGCCTGCCTTCTTCACCCAATCCAGCCTGCCTTCTTCACCCCTTCCAGCCTGCCTTCTTCACCCCTTCCAGCCTGCCTTCTTCACCCCATCCAGCCTGCCTTCTTCACCCCTTCCAGCCTGCCTACTTCACCCCTTCCAGCCTGCCTTCTTCACCCCATCCCGCCTGCCTTATGCTCCCCTTCCAGCCTTCCTTCATCACCCCTTCCAGCCTGCCTTCTTCACCCCTTCCAGCCTGCCTTCTTCACCTCATCTAGCCTGCCTTCTTCACCCCATCCAGCCTGCCTTCTTCACCCCTTCCAGCCTGCCTTCTTCACCCCATCCAGCCTGCCTTCTTCACCCCTTCCAGCCTGCCTTCTTCACCCCTTCCAGCCTGCCTTCTTCAGCTCTTCCAGCCTGCCTTCTTCACCCCATCCAGCCTGCCTTTTTCTCCCCTTCAAGCCTGCCTTCTTCACCCCTTCCAGCCTGCCTTCTTCACCCCTTCCAGCCTGCCTTCTTCACCCCTTCCAGCCTGCCTTCTGCTCCACTTCCAGCCTGCCTTCTTCACCCCTTCCAGCCTGCCTTCTTCACCCCATCCAGCCTGCCTTCTTCACCCCTTCCAATCTGCCTTCTTCACCCCTTCCAGCCTGGCTTTTTCACCCCTTCCAGCCTGCCATCTTCACCCCTTCCAGCCTGCCTTCTTCACCCCTCCAGCCTGCCTTCTTCACCCCTTCCAGCCTGCCTTCTGCAACCCCTTCCAGCCTGCCTTCTTCACCCCTTCCAGCCTGCCTTCTTCACCCCATCCAGCCTGCCTTCTTCACCCCTTCCAACCTGCCTTCTTCACCCCTTCCAGCCTGCCTTCTTCACCCCTTCCAGCCTGCCTTCTTCACCCCTTCCAGCCTGCCTTCTTCACCCCTTCCAGCCTGCCTTCTTCACCCCTTCCAGCCTGCCTTCTGCTCCCCCCCTTCCAGCCTGCCTTCTTCACCCAATCCAGCCTGCCTTCTTCACCCCTTCCAGCCTGCCTTCTTCACCCCTTCCAGCCTGCCTTCTTCACCCCATCCAGCCTGCCTTCTTCACCCCTTCCAGCCTGCCTACTTCACCCCTTCCAGCCTGCCTTCTTCACCCCTTCCCGCCTGCCTTCTGCTCCCCTTCCAGCCTTCCTTCATCACCCCTTCCAGCCTGCCTTCTTCACCCCTTCCAGCCTGCCTTCTTCACCCCTTCCAGCCTGCCTTCTTCACCCCATCCAGCCAGCCTTCTTCACCCCTTCCAGCCTGCCTTCTTCACCCCTTCCAGCCTGCCTTCTTCACCTCTTCCAGCCTGCCTTCTTCACCCCTTCCAGCCTGCCTTCTTCTCCCCTTCAAGCCTGCCTTCTTCGCCCCTTCCAGCCTGCCTTCTTCACCCCTTCCAGCCTGCCTTCTTCACCCCTTCCAGCCTGCCTTCTGCTCCACTTCCAGCCTGCCTTCTTCACCCCTTCCAGCCTGCCTTCTTCACCCCATCCAGCCTGCCTTCTTCACCCCTTCCAACCTGCCTTCTGCTCCCCTTCAAGCCTGCCTTCATCACCCCTTCCAGCCTGCCTTCTTCACCCCTTCCAGCCTGCCTTCTGCTCCCCTTCAAGCCTGCCTTCATCACTCCGTCCAGCCTGACTTCTTCACACCATCCAGCCTGCCTTCTTCACCCCTTCCAGCCTGCCTTCTTCACCCCTTCCAGCCTGCCTTCTTCACCCCTTCCAGCCTGCCTTCTTCACCCCTTCCAGCCGTCCTTCTTCACCCCTTCCAGCCTGCCTTCTTCTCTCCTTCAAGCCTGCCTTCTTCACCCCTTCCAGCCTGCCTTCTTCACCCCTTCCAGCCTGCCTTCTTCACCCCTTCCAGCCTGCCTTCTTCACCCCTTCCAGCCTGCCTTCTTCACCCCTTCCAGCCTGCCTTCTTCACCCCTTCCAGCCTGCCTTCTTCACCCCTTCCAGCCTGCCTTCTTCACCCCTTCCAGCCTGCCTTCTTCACCCCTTCCAGCCTGCCTTCTGCTCCCCTTCCAGCCTGCCTTCTTCACCCAATCCAGCCTGCCTTCTTCACCCCTTCCAGCCTGCCTTCTTCACCCCCTTCCAGCCTGCCTTCTTCACCCCATCCAGCCTGCCTTCTTCACCCCTTCCAGCCTGCCTACTTCACCCCTTCCAGCCTGCCTTCTTCACCCCTTCCCGCCTGCCTTCTGCTCCCCTTCCAGCCTTCCTTCATCACCCCTTCCAGCCTGCCTTCTTCACCCCTTCCAGCCTGCCTTCTTCACCCCATCTAGCCTGCCTTCTTCACCCCATCCAGCCTGCCTTTTTCACCCCTACCAGCCTGCCTTCTTCACCCCATCCAGCCTGCCTTCTTCACCCCTTCCAGCCTGCCTTCTTCACCCCTTCCAGCCTGCCTTCTTCACCTCTTCCAGCCTACCTTCTTCACCCCTTCCAGCCTCCCTTCTTCTCCCCTCCAAGCCTGCCTTCTTCACCCCTTCCAGCCTGCCTTCTGCTCCCCTTCAAGCCTGCCTTCTTCACCCCTTCCAGCCTGCCTTCTGCTCCCCTTCCAGCCTGAGTTCTCTCCTTCCAACCTGAGTTCTTCTTCCCTTCCAGCCTGAGTTCTCTTCTTCCAGCCTTATATCTCTCACTTCAAGCCTGAACTCTTGACGCATCTCCAGACTGATCTCTTGACACCCTTCCAGACTGACGTCTCCCACATCCATTCAGATTTTCTCCTTAACACCATTGTACACTATTATCTTCGTCCAGGTCAGGACTGAATTATTAACTCCATTCCAGTTTGACTTCTTAATACGACTACATTCGCGATCCCTTTCCAATCTGACTCTTTCACCCCCTTACGTCTGACAATCTGATCCCTTTTCAGTCTACACAGATCAGTCGTTTCTTGACAGCACGTTGCTTCATAATTAATACTCTGTTTAACATTCTGGCTTTCTTCCTGCCTCTTTCTCTTGCATTACCTTTTTGTTTCCTCCCTGTCGACCTTTTATCCTATTCCAGACCTTTTTTTCTTCCTTCTTGCGCAGCGTACTCGTTTCCTCTATGTCTGACGATGTTGCTTTCTCCGTAACTGGCTTGTTTACGTTCTCCTTGTTTAGAGGAGTGACTAAATAATTATTTGACTATTTGAATGACTGACTATATAACCTCTTTGAATTCTGGACGTCCGCCCTTCCATACGGCAGAAATAGATCCTCGTTTGACAACATACTTCGTGACATTTTTTCGAATCAAGGCTTGAAAATTTTCTCTCTGGCTAACTTTTTGACTGACTCCATATCTGACGTGTTGACTACTTTGTCAGATTTACTGATTGCTTCAATGTCTTCAAGCTGACTGCCTTCCTAACTGACATGTTTACTGCCTCTCTGATTGGTTGATTACTTTCATCAAAGACTAGTCAACTGCTTCTATGTCTGGCTTGTTAATTGACTCCATTTATGGCTAGTTGGCTGTTACCCTGTCTGACTTGTTGACAGCCTCCTTGTCTGATTTGTTGACAGCCTCCCTGTCTGACTTGTTGGCAGCCTCCTTGTCTGACTTGTTGACAGGCTCCATGTCTGACTTGTTGACAGCCTCCCTGTCTGACTTGTTGACAGCCTCCCTGTCTGACTTGTTGACAGCCTCCCTGTCTGACTTGTTGGCAGCCTCCCTGTCTGACTTGTTGACAGCCTCCCTGTCTGACCTGTTGACAGCCTCCCTGTCTGACTTGTTGACAGCCTCCCTGTCTGACTTGTTGACAGCCTCCCTGTCTGACTTGTTGGCAGCCTCCCTGTCTGACTTGTTGGTAGCCTTCCTGTCTGACCTGTTGACAGCCTCCCTGTCTGACGTATTGACAGCCTCCCTGTCTGATTTCTTGACAGCCTCCCTGTCTGACTTGTTGGCAGCCTTCCTGTCTGACCTGTTGACAGCCTCCCTGTCTGACGTGTTGACAGCCTCCCTGTCTGACGTGTTGACAGCCTCCCTGTCTGACTTCTTGACAGCCTCCCTGTCTGACTTGTTGTCAGCCTCCCTGTGTGACTTCTTGACAGCCTCCCTGTGTGACTTGTTGACAGCCTCCCTGTGTGACTTGTTAACAGCCTCCCTGTGTGACTTCTTGACAGCCTCCATGTGTGACTTGTTGACAGCCTCCATGTCTGACTTGTTGACAGCCTCCATGTCTGTCTTATTGACAGCCTCCATTTCTGTCTTGTCGACAGCCTCCCTGTCTGACATGTTGACAGCCTCCCGGTCTGACATGTTGACAGCCTCCCTGTCTGACATGTTGATAGCCTCCCTGTCTGACTTGCTAACAACCTCCATGTCTGACTTGTTGACAGCCTCCCTGTCTGACATGTTGACAGCCTCCCTGTCTGACTTGTTGACAGCCTCCCTGTCTGACTTGTTGGTAGCCTTCCTGTCTGACCTGTTGACAGCCTCCCTGTCTGACATGTTGACAGCCTCCATGTCTGTCTTGTTGACAGCCTCCCTGTCTGTCTTGTTGATAGCCTCCCTGTCGGCCTTGTTGACAGCCGCCTTGTCTGATTTGTTGACAGCCTCCCTGTCTGATTTGTTGACAGCCTCCCTGTCTGACCTGTTGACAGCCTCCCTGTCTGCCATGACGGTTGCCTTCTTAGTGGTGGCCGTCGCCACCTGGCTGACATATGGCTACACACACACTTTCCTCTCGTAAGTCTGTCCCTCCACACCTGTTTCAAATTATAATGTTCCACCTGTTCCATCTGCTCCACCTGCTCCACCTGTTCCATCTACTTAACCTGTTCCATCTGCTCCACCTGCTCCACCTGTTCCATCTGCTTAACCTGTTCCATCTGCTCCACCTGCTCCACCTGTTCCATCTGCTTAACCTGCTCCACCTGCTCCACCTGTTCCATCTGCTTAACCTGCTCCACCTGTTCCATCTGCTCCACCCGCTCCACCTTGTATTCCCTGCCTGAGAGTACCTCGCAACCTCTCTGCCTTGCGTTACGATTCCACACCGGAGTGAGTTTACGATATCTAAACTTTATTCCGGACTAGCTTATCGATTCCCTGCCTGCCTGCCTGACTCTCTGATTCTCCTTCTGTGGGATTGCTTGACCCTATCTCATGGGGTTATTCCTTCCCTGACTATTTGGGTGCTTTCAGGACGATAGCTTGAAATTCATTGTGTTTTCGCTATCTTATTTATTTCCTGTCGACTATTTTTCAAAATGTATCTATCTATTCATCTTTCTATTAATGCGATCTTTTCATTCGGCTTTCCCTCAGACTAACTTTCTATATACCTTTTGACTTTATAAAATTCCAATTATTAACTTGATATCGTTATCCATATCAGTTATCTTGGCACTTGCAATCTCCTTGTCTTTCCTGGCACTTTCATCTCTGTGTTTTTTAACTTTACAATAGCGTTAATATGTGTTATCTTGGCACACGCATTCGCATTGATATCTGTTATCTTGACAACCGCATCCTTACTTGCTATAAGGAAATTCAAGTACTTTCGTTTTATAATGACTCTCATATAGTTCCTTGTTATCATGACTCACATTTTTCCTTGTTATCATGACTCACATTTTTCCTTGTTATCATGACTCACCTTTTTCCTTGTTATCATAATATTCATTTTCTTCCTTCTTGTTATCACACCCAGATACTTCTATGTTATCCCCTGACACACTCATACTTCTGTGTTATCATGATGCACTTATGTATTTCCCTGTTATCATCACACCCAGATGCTTCCCTATTATCACACCCAGATGCTTCCTTGTTATCTTAACACCCAGGTACTTCCCTGTTATCAACACACCCAGGTACTTCCCTGTTATCATCACACCCAAATACTTCCCTGTTATCATCACACCCAGATACTTCACTGTTATCACACCCAGATACTTCCCTGTTATCATCACACCCAGATACCTCCCTGTTATATTGATACCCAGACACTTCCCTGTTATCATCACACCCAGATACTTCCCTGTTATCATCACACCCAGATACTTCCCTGTTATCATCACACCCAGATACTTCCCTGTTATCACACCCAGATACCTCCCTGTTATTTTGAAACCCAGATACTTCCCTGTTATCATCACACCCCAGATACTTCAATATTATCTTGACACCCAGATACTTCCCTGTTATCATTACAACCAGATATTTCCCTGTTATCATCACACCCAGATACTTCCCTGTTATCATCACACCCAGATATTCCCTGTTATCATCACACCCAGATACTTCCCTGTTATCATCACACCCAGAAAATTCCCTGGTATCATTACACCCAGATACTTCCCTGTTATCTTGACACCCAGATACTTCCCTGTTATCATCACACCCAGATATTCCCTGTTATCATCACACCCAGATACTTCCCTGTTATCTTGACACCCAGATACTTCCCTGTTATCATCACACCCAGATATTCCCTGTTATCATCACACCCAGATACTTCCCTGTTATCTTGACACCCAGATACTTCCCTGTTATCATCACACTCAGATACTTCCCTGTTATCATCACACCCAGATACTTCCCTGTTATCATCACACCCAGATACTTCCCTGTTATCATCACACTCAGATACTTCCCTGTTATCATCACACCCAGATACTTCCCTGTTATCATCACACCCAGATACTTCCCTGTTATCATTACACCCAGATACTTCCCTGTTATCATCACACCCAGATACTTCCCTGTTATCATCACACCCAGATACTTCCCTGTTACCATTACACCCAGATACTTCCCTGTTATCATTACACCCAGATATTTCCTTGTTATCATCACACCCAGATACTTCCCTGTTATCATCACACCCAGATACTTCCCTGTTATCATCACACCCAGATACTTCCCTGTTATCATCACACCAAGATACGTTTCTGTTATCACACTCAGATATTTCCCTGTTATCTTGCCACCCGCTATCCTGTCAAGCGCCACTCCTGGCTATAAGCCGTCTAATGCTGCCTTGCGTCTGTTTTAAACGTGTTTTTACTCGTTTAATCCGCGTTATTTTTCTTTGTTGCCTCCGACGTTATTTTGTGAGTCAACCAACTAACCTGACTTAAGATTGCTTGCGTTTCTCTTCTCGCTCCTAGTGTTCTTCTCCTCGCTCCTTGTGCTCTTCTCCTCGCTCCTTGTGTTCTTCTCCTCGCTCCAAGTGTTCTTCTCCTCGCTCCTTGTGTTCTTCTCCTCGCTCCTAGTGTTCTTCTCCTCGCTCCATGTGTTCTTCTCCTCGCTCCTAGTGTTCTTCTCCTCGCTCCTAGTGTTCTTCTCCTCGCTCCTAGTGCTCTTCTCCTCGCTCCTAGTGTTCTTCTCCTCGCTCCTAGTGTTCTCCTCGCTCCAAGTGTTCTTCTCCTCGCTCCTTGTGTTCTTCTCCTCGCTCCTAGTGTTCTTCTCCTCGCTCCATGTGTTCTTCTCCTCGCTCCTAGTGTTCTTCTCCTCGCTCCTAGTGCTCTTCTCCTCGCTCCTAGTGTTCTTCTCCTCGCTCCTTGTGCTCTTCTCCTCGCTCCTAGTGCTCTTCTCCTCGCTCCTAGTGTTCTTCTCCTCGCTCCTTGTGTTCTTCTCCTCGCTCCTAGTGCTCTTCTCCTCGCTCCTAGTGTTCTTCTCCTCGCTCCTAGTGTTCTTCTCCTCGCTCCTTGTGTTCTTCCCCTCGCTCCTAGTGCTCTTCTCCTCGCTCCTAGTGTTCTTCTCCTCGCTCCTTGTGTTCTTCTCCTCGCTCCTAGTGCTCTTCTCCTCGCTCCTAGTGTTCTTCTCCTCGCTCCTTGTGTTCTTCTCCTCGCTCCTAGTGTTCTTCTCCTCGCTCCTAGTGTTCTTCTCCTCGCTCCTAGTGTTCTTCTCCTCGCTCCATGTGTTCTTCTCCTCGCTCCTAGTGTTCTTCTCCTCGCTCCTAGTGTGTCCTTGCTTTCCTAGTTACCAATTGCTTGTTTATTTGTCACTGTTTACTTGTTCTCCTCACTTCTGGTTCTTTGTTTTTGTCACTGAGTGACCGGATATTATCTGTCTTTTTGTTGTCATTATTTTCTTATCATTGTACATGCTTTTCCTCCTGTTCCATTCACTGCTGCCTCTCCTCCCTCCCTGCTGCTGCCTGTCCTCCCTCCCTGCTGCTGCTTCTCCTCCCTCCCTGCTGCTGCTTCTCCTCCCTCCCTGCTGCTGCCTCTCCTCCCTCCCTGCTGCTGCCTCTTCTCCCTCCCTGCTGCTGCCTCTCCTCCCTCCCTGCTGCTGCCTCTCCTCCCTCCCTGCTGCTGCCTCTCCTCCCTCCCTGCTGCTGCTTCTCCTCCCTCCCTGCTGCTGTCTCTCCTCCCCCCCTGCTGCTGCTTCTCCTCCCTCCCTGCTGCTGCCTCTCCTCCCTCCCTGCTGCTGCTTCTCCTCCCTCCCTGCTGCTGTTTCTCCTCCCTCCCTGCTGCTGCCTCTCCTCCCTCCCTGCTGCTGCCTCTCCTCCCTCCCTGCTGCTGCTTCTCCTCCCTCCCTGCTGCTGCTTCTCCTCCCTCCCTGCTGCTGCCTCTCCTCCCTCCCTGCTGCTTCCTCTCCTCCCCCCCTGCTGCTGTCTCTCCTCCCCCCCTGCTGCTGTCTCTCCTCCCCCCCTGCTGCTGTCTCTCCTCCCCCCCTGCTGCTGCCTCTCCTTCCCCCCCTGCTGCTGCCTCTCCTCCCTCCCTGCTGCTGTCTCTCCTCCCTCCCTGCTGCTGCCTCTCCTCCCCCCCTGCTGCTGCCTCTCCCCCCCCCCTGCTGCTGCCTCTCCTCCCCCCCCTGCTGCTGCCTCTCCTCCCCCCCCCTGCTGCTGCCTCTCCTCCCCCCCCTGCTGCTGCCTCTCCTCCCCCCCCTGCTGCTGCCTCTCCTCCCCCCCCTGCTGCTGCCTCTCCTCCCTCCCTGCTGCTGCCTCTCCTCCCTCCCTGCTGCTGCCTCTCCTCCCTCCCTGCTGCTGCCTCTCCTCCCCCCCCCCTGCTGCTGCCTCTCCTCCCTCCCTGCTGCTGCTTCTCCTCCCTCCCTGCTGCTGCCTCTCCTCCCTCCCTGCTGCTGCCTCTCCTCCCCCCCCCCTGCTGCTGCCTCGCCTCCCTCCCTGCTGCTGCCTCTCCTCCCTCCCTGCTGCTGCCTCTCCTCCCCCCCCCTGCTGCTGCCTCTCCTCCCTCCCTGCTGCTGTCTCTCCTCCCTCCCTGCTGCTGCCTCTCCTCCCTCCCTGCTGCTGCCTCTCCTCCCTCCCTGCTGCTGCCTCTCCTCCCTCCCTGCTGCTGTCTCTCCTCCCTCCCTGCTGCTGCCTCTCCTCCCTCCCTGCTGCTGCCTCTCCTCCCTCCCTGCTGCTGCCTCTCCTCCCTCCCTGCTGCTGCCTCTCCTCCCTCCCTGCTGTTGTCTCTCCTCCCTCCCTACTGCTGCCTCTCCTCCCTCCCTGCTGCTGCCTCTCCTCCCTCCCTGCTGCTGCCTCTCCTCCCTCCCTGCTGCTTCCTCTCCTCCCCCCTGCTGCTGCCTCTCCTCCCTCCCTGCTGCTGCCTCTCCTCCCCCCCTGCTGCTGCCTCGCCTCCCTCCCTGCTGCTGCCTCTCCTCCCTCCCTGCTGCTGCCTCTCCTCCCCCCCCCTGCTGCTGCCTCTCCTCCCTCCCTGCTGCTGTCTCTCCTCCCTCCCTGCTGCTGCCTCTCCTCCCTCCCTGCTGCTGCCTCTCCTCCCTCCCTGCTGCTGCCTCTCCTCCCTCCCTGCTGCTGTCTCTCCTCCCTCCCTGCTGCTGCCTCTCCTCCCTCCCTGCTGCTGCCTCTCCTCCCTCCCTGCTGCTGCCTCTCCTCCCTCCCTGCTGCTGCCTCTCCTCCCTCCCTGCTGCTGCCTCTCCTCCCTCCCTGCTGCTGCCTCTCCTCCCTCCCTGCTGCTGCCTCTCCTCCCCCCCCTGCTGCTGCCTCTCCTCCCTCCTTGCTGCTGCCTCTCCTCCCTCCCTGCTGCTGTCTCTCCTCCCTCCCTGCTGCTGTCTCTCCTCCCTCCCTGCTGCTGTCTCTCCTCCCTCCCTGCTGCTGCCTCTCCTCCCTCCCTGCTGCTGCCTCTCCTCCCTCCCTGCTGCTGCCTCTCCCCCCCCCTGCTGCTGCCTCTCCTCCCTCCCTGCTGCTGCCTCTCCTCCCTCCCTGCTGCTGCCTCTCCTCCCTCCCTGCTGCTGCCTCTCCTCCCTCCCTGCTGCTGCCTCTCCTCCCCCCCTGCTGCTGCCTCTCCTCCCTCCCTGCTGCTGCCTCTCCTCCCTCCCTGCTGCTGCCTCTCCTCCCTCCCTGCTGCTGCCTCTCCTCCCTCCCTGCTGCTGCCTCTCCTCCCCCCCTGCTGCTGCCTCTCCTCCCTCCCTGCTGCTGCCTCTCCTCCCCCCCTGCTGCTGCCTCTCCTCCCTCCCTGCTGCTGCCTCTCCTCCCCCCCTGCTGCTGCCTCTCCTCCCTCCCTGCTGCTGCCTCTCCTCCCCCCCTGCTGCTGCCTCTCCTCCCTCCCTGCTGCTGCCTCTCCTCCCCCCCTGCTGCTGCCTCTCCTCCCTCCCTGCTGCTGCCTCTCCTCCCCCCCTGCTGCTGCCTCTCCTCCCTCCCTGCTGCTGCTTCTCCTCCCAGGCCCCACCAACGAGTTCCTCCTCCCAGCCCCCACCTACGAGTACCTCCTCCCAGCCACCACCTACGAGTTCCTCCTCCCAGCCACCACCTACGAGTTCCTCCTCCCAGCCACCACCTACGAGTTCCTCCTCCCAGCCCCCACCTACGAGTTCCTCCTCCCAGCCCTCACCTAAGAGTACCTCCTCCCAGCCCCCACCTACGAGTTCCTCCTCCCAGCCACCACCTACGAGTTCCTCCTCCCAGCCACCACCTACGAGTTCCTCCTCCCAGCCCCCACCTACGAGTTCCTCCTCCCAGCCCCCACCTACGAGTTCCTCCTCCCAGCCCCCACCTACGAGTTCCTTCTCCCAGCCCCCACCTACGAGTACCTCCTCCCAGCCCCCACCAACGAGTACCTCCTCCCAGGCTCCACCTACGAGTTCTTCCTCCCAGCCACCACCTACGAGTTCCTCCTCCCAGCCACCACCTACGAGTTCCTCCTCCCAGCCACCACCTACGAGTTCTTCCTCCCAGCCCCCACCTACGAGTTCCTCCTCCTAGCCCCCACCAACGAGTACCTCCTCCCAGGCCCCACCTACGAGTTCCTCCTCCCAGCCACCACCTACGAGTTCTTCCTCCCAGCCCCCACCTACGAGTTCCTCCTCCCAGCCACCACCTACGAGTTCCTCCTCCCAGCCACCACCTACGAGTTCCTCCTCCCAACCACCACCTACGAGTTCCTCCTCCCAGCCACCACCTACGAGTTCTTCCTCCCAGCCACCACCTACGAGTTCCTCCTCCCAGCCACCACCTACGAGTTCCTCCTCCCAGCCACCACCTACGAGTTCTTCCTCCCAGCCACCACCTACGAGTTCCTCCTCCCAGCCACCACCTACGAGTTCCTCCTCCCAGCCACCACCTACGAGTTCTTCCTCCCAGCCCCCACCTACGAGTTCCTCCTCCCAGCCCCCACCAATGAGTACCTCCTCCCAGGCCCCACCTACGAGTTCCTCCTCCCAGCCACCACCTACGAGTTCCTCCTCCCAGCCCCCACCAACGAGTTCCTCCTCCCAGCCCCCACCAACGAGTTCCTCCTCCCAGCCACCACCTACGAGTTCCTCCTCCCAGCCCCCACCTACGAGTTCCTCCTCCCAGCCCCCACTAACGAGTTCCTCCTCCCAGCCCCCACCAACGAGTTCCTCCTCCCAGCCACCACCTACGAGTTCCTCCTACACTCCATAACTCCCCACTCTTGTGCCCGGGGTGTTCCATTATAGATGAACTTGAGCATCATCACCTCAGCTTGCTCTGAGGTCTCTCTCTACACCTCTCCCTCCTCTCTCTCTACACCTCTCCCTCCTCTCTCTCTACACCTCTCCCTCCTCTCTCTCTACACCCCTCCCTCCTCTCTCTCTACACCTCTCCCTCCTCTCTCTACACCTCACCCTCCTCTCTCTCTACACCTCTCCCTCCTCTCTCTCTACACCTTTCCCTCTCTCTCTACACCTCTCCCTCCTCTCTCTACACCTCTCCCTCCTCTCTCTCTACACCTCTCCCTCCTCTCTACACCTCTCCGTCCCTTCTCTCTCTTCCTGCCCTCCACCACTAGGCTCCCTGCGGCCCTCCACCACCACTAGGCTCCCTGCGGCCCTCCTCCACCACTAGGCTCCCTGCGGCCCTCCACCACTAGGCTCCCTGCGGCCCTCCACCACTAGGCTCCCTGCGGCCCTCCACCACTAGGCTCCCTGCGGCCCCTCCTGCACCACTAGGCTCCCTGCGGCCCTCCACCACTAGGCTCTCTGCGGCCCCTCCTCCACCACTAGGCTCCCTGCAGCCCTCCACCACTAGGCTCCCTGCGGCCCTCCACCACTAGGCTCCCTGCGGCCCCTCCTCCACCACTAGGCTCCCTGCAGCCCTCCACCACTAGGCTCCCTGCGGCCCTCCACCACCACTAGGCTCCCTGCGGCCCTCCACCACCACTAGGCTTCCTGCGGCCCTCCACCACTAGGCTCCCTGCGGCCCTCCACCACTAGGCTCTCTGCGGCCCCTCCACCACCACTAGGCTCCCTGCGGCCCTCCACCACCACTAGGCTCCCTGCAGCCCTCAACCACTAGGCTCCCTGCGGCCCTCCACCACTAGGCTCCCTGCGGCCCCTCCTCCACCACTAGGCTCCCTGCAGCCCTCCACCACTAGGCTCCCTGCGGCCCTCCACCACTAGGCTCCCTGCGGCCCTCCACCACCACTAGGCTCCCTGCGGCCCTCCTCCACCACTAGGCTCCCTGAGGCCCTCCACCACTAGGCTCCCAGCAGCCCTCCACCACTAGGCTCCCTGCGGCCCTCCACCACCACTAGGCTCCCTGCGGCCCTCCACCACTAGGCTCCCTGCGGCCCTCCACCACCACTAGGCTCCCTGCGGCCCTCCACCACCACTAGGCTCCCTGCAGCCCTCCATCACCACTAGGCTCCCTGCGGCCCTCCACCACCACTAGGCTCCCTGCGGCCCTCCTCCACCACTAGGCTCCCTGCGGCCCTCCTCCACCTCTAGGCTCCCTGCGGCGTCCTCTCTGCGCTGCGCCATGTCAGTCTTGTGCTCCCAGCCTCAATAACTTCATTTCCTTCATTAACATATCAGGTGTCAGAACCAACTATTGAATCAACACCGGCACGTCTCTATAGCTGTCTGCGCTGTGCCCTCTCTGCGCTGTGGACATCTCTGCGCTGTGCACCTCTCTGCGCTGTGCACCTCTGCGCTGTGCACCTCTCTGGGCTGTGCACCTCTCTGGGCTGTGCACCTCTCTGCGCAGTGCACCTCTGCGCTGTGCACCTCTCTGCGCTGTGCACCTCACTGCGCTGTGCACCTCTCTGCACTGCGCACCTATCTACGCTGTGCAGCTGCACCTCTCTGCGCTGTGCACCTCTCTGCACTGCGCACCTCTCTGCGGTGTGCACCTCTCTGCACTGCGCACCTATCTACGCTGTGCAGCTGCACCTCTCTGCGCTGTGCACCTCTCTGCACTGCGCACCTCTCTGCGCTGTGCACCTCTCTGCACTGCGCACCTATCTACGCTGTGCAGCTGCACCTCACTGCGCTGTGCACCTCTCTGCACTGCGCACCTATCTACGCTGTGCAGCTGCACCTCTCTGCGCTAAGTGCAGACACATCTGTTCTGTTCTCCGTCTCACGTTTATGCTGTCCCCCAACACCTGTGAGGCGTACCAACACATCCACACTTGCGCAATGCAGTGCGGCGCAGCGCAGCAACAGACACACACATACACACACACACACACACACACACACACACACACTCACACCAATACACTCACACACACACACCTGCGCAGTGCACCAAGTTAACAAAGTCTCATTAGCCTGTCGAGCACCAAACCGAGCAGTTTTCCCGGTAATTGTGGTAAGGTCTGATGAGCTGTGCGTGCGGGTTAACATATTTACAAGCGTCACGACATCCGCCCGTCCAACCCACAATCCCACCCTAAATGATGGAACATAGAGAAGGTATTGTATCCAATCAGAGGACCACTAATGGCTCTTGTTTACAGGCTCCCTCGTGGTCGTGGACACCGTGTATCATGTGTCCTCAGTGTCACCTCTCTCGTGTCAACATTAGCCAGAAAGGAAACTGGTTTTAGTGTTTACCTGGAAACATATAACAACAAAAGTTAGATGAATGATGAAGAAATTCGGAAAATGTAATGATATTATGATGATCAAAACAGGGTGAAGGTAGTGATTTGTGAATTTTTCAGAATAGAGACATACATGACTGAGATTTAGAAGCTGTGCTGAAGCTTACCAAGTTGGGAAGTGTGATGTTATTTTATTGAGGTCGTTAACTCGCCTGGTTGGGAGTGTGGCAGTCATGAAAATGTGTTTTGTTTGGACCAAGACATGTGAACGTGTTTTTAATTAGTGCCAGTGACGAGAAACCAGTTAGTGCCAGTGACGAGAAACCAGTTAGTGCCAGTGACGAGAAAGTGTCACCAGTTACTGCCAGTGACGAGAACGTGTCTTTAATTAATGCCAGTGACGAGAACGTGTCTTTAATTAGTGCCAGTGACGAGAACGTGTCTTCATTTGGTGCCAGTGACGAGAAAGTGCCACCAGTTAGTACCAGTGACGAGAAAGTGTCACCAGTTAGTACCAGTGACGAGAAAGTGTCACCAGTGACTGCCAGTGACGAGAACGTGTCTTTAATTAATGCCAGTGACGAGAACGTGTCTTTAATTAGTGCCAGTGACGAGAACGTGTCTTCATTTGGTGCCAGTGACGAGAAAGTGCCACCAGTTAGTACCAGTGACGAGAAAGTGTCACCAGTTAGTACCAGTGACGAGAAAGTGTCACCAGTGACTGCCAGTGACGAGAACGTGTCACCCATAAACTAGAAAATTATATTTACTTTTATTCATATAGAAAAAAACGAAAACAAAACAAAACCCGGCGTCTGTCAGCACTAACAGCCAAAGCATGTCAGGGTGGCGCCGCCCGCGCTGCTGCACTCTCTCTCATAATGCGTTGTGAGGACGAGTGAGTGAGTGGGGTGTGAGGTATGGACGTGTGAGTCTGACCCAACTCACCATGCAATCCTCAGGCTGCCCTCTGCTGCTGCTGCTGCTTGAGCTGCTGCTCATACTCACCCTTCAACACGGTGAGTATTGATCGTCTCTCTCTCTCAAACTTCCCCTTCGTGGTTGGCTTTTTTGGGCTGTAGTTTGGGTACAAAAACTAGAAACTTAAAATCAAAGTCTTGGAAGAAGGACGCGACTCTCTTAATTTTATCTTCTCTGGTGAATAATATATACAGTATACGATTTATTCTTTCAAGATCATGTTTGAACTATGTCCAATTTTTACCCATTTCGTGTGTGTTTAGTATTATAAAGAAACAACGATTATTTCTTCGTTAGAAACTGGAAATTAGCGAAGACCTTGTGATAGAGATATCTCCAGAGAGTCCATTGGTTCATGCCAGGAAGCTCTAACTCAGGCTTGATCAATCACCCTCTCTCATGGACTTATCCAACCACTCACACTCGTGTGGTAATCAACCACTCACACTCGTGTGGTAATCAACCACTCACACTCGTGTGGTAATCAACCACTCACACTCGTGTGGTAATCAACCACTCACATTCATGGGGCAATCACCACTCACACTCGTGACGTAATCAACCACTCACACTCGTGACGTAATCAACCACTCACACTCGTGTGGTAATCAAAGACTCACACTCGTGACGTAATCAACCACTCACACTCGTGTGGTAATCAACCACTCACACTCATGTGATAATCAACCACTTACTCTCGTGATAATCAACCAATCTCTCATGTACCTATCCAAAAAGAGTAAAGAGACACTAAGATGAGTTGATTCAACTTACAGATAGAGCTTAGGATGAGCTAGGTTGGGCTCTAAACCTAGCGTTAGGCTTGTCACTCTGTTAAGTATCTAGGTCTATGCAACGCAGACTAGGCCGTTGTTTGTAACTTTGCAACAAGTCTGCTTATGTTTGAGACGAGATACATTTAAAAACATTTTGTATTATTCATGTAAACTAAATATGTAACCAAGTCATTCAAAAATACATTCAAACTTGTCAGTTACAAGGACGTAAGTGTGACATATGGCGAGCCGTATCAGATGTGGCAGCGAGGCACACTGGCAGGAAGACGTAGATGTAGCAGCGAAATTTGCAACATTTGCAGGGGCAATATTATTGACTGTGACAGTGGTAGTGGTGACTATGACAGTGGTAGTGGTGACTATGACAGTGGTAGTGGTGACTATGACAGTGGTAGTGGTGACTATGACAGTGGTATGGTGACTATGACAGTGGTAGTGGTGACTATGGCAGTGGTAGTGGTGACTGTGACAGTGGTAGTGGTGACTGTGACAGTGGTAGTGGTGACTATGACAGTGGTAGTGGTGACTGTGACATTGGTAGTGGTGACTATGACAGTGGTAGTGGTGACTGTGACAGTGGTAGTGGTGACTGTGACAGTGGTAGTGGTGACTATGACAGTGGTAGTGGTGACTATGACAGTGGTAGTGGTGACTATGGCAGTGGTATGGTGACTATGACAGTGGTATGGTGACTATGACAGTGGTAGTGGTGACTATGACAGTGGTAGTGGTGACTGTGACAGTGGTAGTGGTGACTGTGACAGTGGTAGTGGTGACTGTGACAGTGGTAGTGGTGACTGTGACAGTGGTAGTGGTGACTATGGCAGTGGTAGTGGTGACTATGACAGTGGTAGTGGTGACTATGACAGTGGTAGTGGTGACTATGACAGTGGTATGGTGACTATGACAGTGGTAGTGGTGACTATGACAGTGGTAGTGGTGACTGTGACAGTGGTAGTGGTGACTATGACAGTGGTAGTGGTGACTGTGACAGTGGTAGTGGTGACTGTGACAGTGGTAGTGGTGACTATGACAGTGGTAGTGGTGACTGTGACAGTGGTAGTGGTGACTGTGACAGTGGTAGTGGTGACTATGACAGTGGTAGTGGTGACTATGACAGTGGTAGTGGTGACTATGACAGTGGTAGTGGTGACTATGACAGTGGTATGGTGACTATGACAGTGGTAGTGGTGACTGTGACAGTGGTAGTGGTGACTATGACAGTGGTAGTGGTGACTATGACAGTGGTAGTGGTGACTATGACAGTGGTAGTGGTGACTATGACAGTGGTAGTGGTGACTGTGGCAGTGGTAGTGGTGACTGTGACAGTGGTAGTGGTGACTATGGCAGTGGTAGTGGTGACTATGACAGTGGTAGTGGTGACTATGACAGTGGTAGTGGTGACTATGACAGTGGTATGGTGACTATGACAGTGGTAGTGGTGTCTGTGACAGTGGTAGTGGTGACTATGACAGTGGTAGTGGTGACTATGACAGTGGTAGTGGTGACTATGACAGTGGTAGTGGTGACTGTGGCAGTGGTAGTGGTGACTGTGACAGTGGTAGTGGTGACTATGGCAGTGGTAGTGGTGACTATGACAGTGGTAGTGGTGACTATGACAGTGGTAGTGGTGACTATGACAGTGGTAGTGGTGTCTGTGACAGTGGTAGTGGTGACTATGACAGTGGTAGTGGTGACTATGACAGTGGTAGTGGTGACTATGACAGTGGTAGTGGTGTCTGTGACAGTGGTAGTGGTGACTATGACAGTGGTAGTGGTGACTATGACAGTGGTAGTGGTGACTATGACAGTGGTAGTGGTGTCTGTGACAGTGGTAGTGGTGACTATGACAGTGGTAGTGGTGACTATGGCAGTGGTAGTGGTGACTATGGCAGTGGTAGTGGTGACTATGACAGTGGTAGTGGTGACTATGACAGTGGTAGTGGTGACTATGACAGTGGTATGGTGACTATGACAGTGGTAGTGGTGTCTGTGACAGTGGTAGTGGTGACTATGACAGTGGTAGTGGTGACTATGACAGTGGTAGTGGTGACTATGACAGTGGTAGTGGTGACTGTGGCAGTGGTAGTGGTGACTGTGACAGTGGTAGTGGTGACTATGGCAGTGGTAGTGGTGACTATGACAGTGGTAGTGGTGACTATGACAGTGGTAGTGGTGACTATGACAGTGGTAGTGGTGTCTGTGACAGTGGTAGTGGTGACTATGACAGTGGTAGTGGTGACTATGACAGTGGTAGTGGTGACTATGACAGTGGTAGTGGTGTCTGTGACAGTGGTAGTGGTGACTATGACAGTGGTAGTGGTGACTATGACAGTGGTAGTGGTGACTATGACAGTGGTAGTGGTGTCTGTGACAGTGGTAGTGGTGACTATGACAGTGGTAGTGGTGACTATGGCAGTGGTAGTGGTGTCTGTGACAGTGGTAGTGGTGTCTGTGACAGTGGTAGTGGTGACTATGACAGTGGTAGTGGTGACTATGACAGTGGTAGTGGTGTCTGTGACAGTGGTAGTGGTGACTTTGACAGTGGTATGGTGACTATGACAGTGGTAGTGGTGACTATGACAGTGGTAGTGGTGTCTGTGACAGTGGTAGTGGTTACTTTGACAGTGGTATGGTGACTATGACAGTGGTAGTGGTGACTATGACAGTGGTAGTGGTGACTGTGACATTGGTAGTGGTGACTATGACAGTGGTAGTGGTGACTGTGACAGTGGTAGTGGTGACTATGACAGTGGTAGTGGTGACTATGACAGTGGTAGTGGTGACATAGAAGAGAGTGACTACAGTTGGTGTAGTAGTATTGTAGCAGTGTTGGGGGACTACAGTAGTTGTAGTGGTGGTATAACAGTGTTGGATGACTACATCAGTGTTATAAAAGCTATAACAGTGATGGCAGCAGCCTTGGTAGTGACCAATCAGTGATGACCTCAGCAGAGCTGGTGCTGTACATTCGTGCATTAAAAATTACTGTTACACTATCTTTCAGCTGCTATAGTTAACTAATTCAAATCATTCGCCATTATTCATTATATATTATAGAAGAGACTAACAAATAGTCAGAAATGGACAGAAATCAAAGAATACAAAGAACGGTACCCCTAGTAATATTTATATTCGTAGTTTATACAATAGTATTATAATGTTGGTGATAAAGTAACTCCATAATAGACCAAACGTAAATTCTCTCAAAATGAAAATTCGCGTTTAAAATGTAAATACGGAAAATAATTTGTGATGGGCAGTTAAAACTTGGGAGACTGTGAAGACTTGGGATTTATGAGACAATATTCTCACTCGCGGAGTTCAAGAAACACACTCAGAATGTTGGGAAACGATCACCCTGATGGCCCTTATCACTCATCAACCCGCCCTCATCTTTAGGGGATACCTCTGTAAGCTGTGTATATACTCTTCATGCGGTGTATATACTCTGCTAGTAGTTATATACTCTGTTAGTAGTGTATATACTCTGTTAGTAGTGTATATACTCTGTTAGTGGTGTATATACTCTGTTAGTAGTGTATATACTCTGTTAGTGGTGTATATACTCTGTTAGTGGTGTATATACTCTGTTAGTGGTATATATATACTCTGTTAGTAGTTATATACTCTGTTAGTGGTGTATATACTCTGTTAGTGGTGTATATACTCTGTTAGTAGTGTATATACTCTGTTAGTGGTGTATATATACTGTTAGTAGTGTATATACTCTGTTAGTAGTGTATATACTCTGTTAGTGGTGTATGTACTTTGTTAGTGGTGTATATACTCTGTTAGTGGTGTATATATACTCTGTTAGTAGTGTATATACTCTGTTAGTAGTGTATATACTCTGTTAGTAGTGTATGTACTTTGTTAGTGGTGTATATACTCTGTTAGTGGTGTATATATACTCTGTTAGTAGTGTATATACTCTGGAAGCAGTGTGTATACTCTGTGAGAAGTGTACTTACTCGGCAAGTAGTGAATATGCTTTGTGAGCCGTGTATATACACTGTAAGCAGCAGTATATAAACTACAAGCAGTGTATATACTCTGCAAGCCGTGTATATTCTCTGTAAACAGTATAAACAGTGTATATGATCTGTAAGCAGTGTATAAACTTAGAAAATAGTGTATATATACTCTGTAAACAGTGTATATACTCTGTAAACAGTGTATATATAATCTGTAAACTGTGTATATGCTCTGTAAACTGTGTATATGCTCTGTAAACTGTG